TGTCATCTCCCTGGTACTTTTCTCAATATACAGGTTCCCTCTTCCTTTCATCACATACCACCATGTCCTCAAGCCTTGGGAAAAGCCACTCTCCTCGCTTGATCTACTACAGCTCCTTTTGCCTTTCATGCTACATTGCATGTGTCTCTCCCACTTCTCCCACTAAAGCACCCTGTGTTCCCAGCAGGCTTTCTACAAAGCACTGTCCTACCACAGCACATTCTTCCATATAATTTAAAATACGGAATTATGTTCTGAAATCTGTTCCCAGAGTCTGATCCTCCTTACACAGGGCCAAGTGTCCAACTGTCATGCTCAAAATAGATACACTTATAATATGGAAGAGAGGTTGAGAAAAGCATGAGCAAAAACACTCAGTGTAGTTGGATGAGGGAAATAAATTTGAATCATCTTGTCTCAAAAACAACTCCTCAAACCACTGTAAAGATTTGGAAATACAGCTTTTAAAACCTGTGACCAGTAGAATAGCTCTGAAGCTGGGAGAGAACCAGTGCTCAAGACATCATCTTTTACCTGCATAAAACCAACCATGAAGTAGGTAAATCTGCCATGCCACCAGGGTTTGTGGTTTAGCCCTGCCCCCAGGCTATACCCTCTTGCCAATGCAGATTGTGAGGAACAGAAACAGGAGAAGATGCCCAAAGGTAAAAGAGGAGGAGAAGACTCAGTCCTGAAACATAGCTTGTTGTGCTGGGGTGCAAGGCCTTAAAAGTAACCACACCAGGCAGAAAGGAAAGCAGACCTGGGCTCAGGGTTGTGAGCTGACAGAATGGGAGGATAGGTGGAATAGATTCACTGGGAAAGGGTCTTCCTTTACACTGACACTCTGGAGCTTTCATAGAGCCCCACCTTAAGTAGGTAAGGCAGAGGAACAGAAGTTGAAGTTACCTGCCCAAGATGATAAAGATACCCCAGCAGCAATGAGAAACAAACACAGGTAAGGTCCCATTGTGACACACAGGCTGCTAGATCCCACAGCTCCAAATCTCTTTTTCCACATTCAAGACTCAGCTTTCCCTGTGACTTCCATAGTCATGACACTTAAGAATGTGATCAGCCCAAAGAAAGAGGTTAAAGAGCCAATCCTGTAACATCTTTAAAGTCAAAGGCTAAGTTCCAACACTAAACTGCTTCTTACTCCCAACAGTATCCTTAAATAACTTACAAATTAAAAGCAACAAGCCTATCACAAGCTCTAATGCAAAATAAATAAAAACCTAATTCATACTATGAGAAAATACAAAAATGAACATTCAGAAGTAATTCAAGTCTTCTTGTGATACATTTATTAATGTTGAATTGTAAATGCCTCTAAAAATTATCAAAACAAAATGCTATTTCAAAGGAACTATTATTTACAGAGTGCTGCACTTCACAATGCAGATGAATAAAGGAGAATTAGACCCCCAGTGACTTCCACTCTTAGAAATCTATTGGAACCAGCCAGATTTTCTCCTACATCTTCTACAAACAGAACCTGACAAGAAAGAGAGCTCAAGTTCATCTGCCATTATAACTGAAAATAGTCTGTTCCTATGCTTTTAAATTTCAGAAGAGTGAGGGGGTGTGGAGCTCAATAATGCATTCCAGTACCAAACTTCCTAAGCTGTAGCTGCCAAATTAATATATTTATTTTTAAAGACTATGTTTAAAACCATTACTATCAAAGTAGCTTCTGCCATTAGTCAGCAGCTCTCCAGAAATGAGATTTGATAAATTAATTGTCTGTCTTTGTTCCAAGTAAGTATTCACTAAACAGAAAAACTTCAGGAGTTTTGGAGATTTATTTTTTTAAGTATCCATTAATTAGACATTGAAACAACAAACCCTGTGATGATTATTCGTGGTAGTATCCCACCATAAAGAACAACCTAACCACAGAGCTGGAAAACACCCGGGAATGAGTTCTGACAACAGAATTTCTCTGATCATTCCTTGCACTTCCCTGCCAAGAGAAAACTGTTGAGCTCCTAGGCACACATCCCCCAGGACATTCCTCAGCAGAAAGCACCAGTGCCCTGTAAACTTGTCAAAGCCCGGGGCCAGATTCCAGTTCCCTGGTTACAACCACTTATTAAGGGGATTTCTGCTCAGTTGGAAAGGCAGCTCCAGAGCTTGATGAGATACAGAAGCCTCAGAAGAGAGATGCTCTGGGAAAAGGTGGGCTTCCTGTTGGCCCTCTCTGACCTTCTTTCTAGCTTGTCAGTTCCCCCTCCTTACAGGTCATAGGAGTCTCCACAATAATGGTACCTCAAAGGTTCTCAACAGCCAAGCCAGCATAAGAAACTCCCACCTCTGATCCTGGCCACTTGTTCCCCTCCATGTTGCCATCTGCCATCTCCTAATTTGAAACAATACCACTGCTTGTACCTGGTTTAATACCATAGAAGCAGGGCTTACAGTGTAGTAAAGAACTGGTTTTTTTAAACACACTTCCATCTTCCATGATGTTAGCGTGGTGTCCAGAGGCACCTCCACAAAGCACAAGGTCTCAAACTAGTATTTACTTTCCTTATAAGATATTAAGTATTTATCAAAAGGACTTCTATAAATGTGACCAAACAGTTTATTCCTTGAGCACTGATCTCTCACTGCTACCAGTCTGAATCCCACATATTCTAGGAATACAAACCAAGGCAAGTAATACAACAGTACAGTACATTTTAAGGGCTCAATTTTGTTTAAATTCAAGTCACTGTAATCTTGACTTCTGCTCCAGCCAGAAGAAGACTAAATCCTGACAATCTCTGAGATCTAACCAAAGAGCCAGGGAGATGACACTAACTCCTACAGCTAATAGAAGATGACAGCAGGCAACGACTTTCTGCATCTTCTTAATACAGCCATCTCCCTAAGGGATACCTAACTTTCTTTACCAGAAGAAGAAACAAGCCCCCAACCCTTTTATATAAGGGTTTATACGGAAACGCATGCATAGACAGACATACTTCTTTCTCAAATCATTGCTCCAGAGCTCATTGGATCAAGACCATAAAAGGCATGCCAGTAGCCTGCTAGACAACGTCTTGAAATATTTGGTTAAGTGCTTAAAAAAAAAACCAAACATCAAATGAGGTTTTATTTGGTAGGGGATTTTAAAAGCCACTTAATAACATTTAATTAGGAGGAGGCTTTAAAACCTGTATCTAGAAAAGGTCAAAACTAACAGCCATCATTTTAATTATATAACTATGAATCAGTTTTAAAGGCACAGGTTAGGGAAGACACTAAAATATTTGTGGGCCTCAAGCATTCAAACAAGTTGTAATAGGAAAGGCTGCAAAATTCAGACATTGCCCTCTTCTCTAACATCGGAAAAGCTAAAGCCTACAAAAAAGCAGCTCAATACCAGAATGAGCCAAGAAGGATGGCAACCTACACAAATGCACATTTCCACATTACTACCCCAGAGCCTGATCCTTGTACAGTTAACCTTCAAACCAACACCAGCTGTGCCCAGAAAAAAGTTTCAGGCCTCTGAACTGATGATTTCTTCTGTACAAGCAATGAATCAGTTCTGAGGTGGAGCTACCAACCAGATTACATCAAATAATTATTTTAAGAAGAAATACAACATAATTAAAGTTAGCTTGGCACTTTGCTTGCTTTCTTTAAGTAAGAGACTTTCTGCATTTTTAAAAACAGTGAAGCTAAGAAGCCTGCCTAAATGGGATCTCTGTCAGTAGCTAAAACCAGAACTGTTAAGGGACACAGAGGGACCTCTTCTTACAAATGAGGCATAAATTATTCCTATGGCCAAGATGTCCCTTGGGTAAACAGAGCTCATTTGTATAAACTAAAGAAGGGGCATTAACTCACTAAAAAATACCAAGAGGCACAACAAGCTAATGCAAGAGGCCTGGTGTCAACATGTCACTCCCATAATCAAAGCAAATGTTTCTTTAACAAGAACTTAAGTAACAGATTTTCCATAAAACCATTTTAATAAACAGCTGTAAATACAACAACAAAAAGTTGAAAGCATTTACACGATTTCGTTTCTTTTGTTTGTTTGCTTGATCCCATTGTATCTCAGAAAAGACTGACAGCTTTACTAGATTTGGGAAACAAGAATTAGAAACAAAATCAAGACAAACCAAAACATAATCAATTCATGAATACCATACGGTAAAAGAACTACTGATTTACAGCACTTTTTCAAACTGTCTTTCAGGTAATCAGTTACTGAGCAGTTTTTTCCTCTTTAAACCTCAGGAACTTTGGTCAAGCAGAGTGGGTCTACCAGATGCCAGCAGCACAGCAGCTGGCAGAATTGCTCCCGCAGCTCCTGTTTCTAAAAATGCTCAATTTGGTTCACGACATCCCACGACAGCAATATAACAAAAGCGGCTCCCTTTTTCAACACAGCAAATCTGCTAGCGAAAAGCACTGAAGAATTCAGGAACAACTTATAAAGCCAGTATAAAAACAGTTACTTCTAAAGCAAGCTTTCCTAGACAAGTCGTGCTGGCTGCAGTGGGAATTCCGTTTTCTACGCTTCACATAAAGCTGTATTGGAAGCACAAGAAAGTACATTAAGTGGGTTATACGGAGAAAATTTCCCTGAAATAGAAATAAGTTATGAGATCACAGCCAGAGACATCTACCTCAGAAACACAGAACAGAAAACACAGGCATAACTCCGCACACAAGCGGGACTAGCCGCGCTCGACAGCTCACGGACGAGCCTAAGGCAACCTCCCCACGGCGCCGCAGGGGACTCAGCAAGCCCAGCCTCGCACCGCGAAGCCGGGGGACAGCCAAATCCTATTGGGAACAAGCCTCTGGAAAACTAAGCAGCCAGCCTGGCGGGGAAGAGAACACGGGAAAGAAAACCAGGGGCTCACTCCGGACAGCCCCGCAGTCCCGGGCCAGCCCCTGCCGCACTCGCCCTTCCCGGCCGTCGAGCGTTACGCAGCGGCGCTGGGACGCGGAAGCCGGCTCTCGGTTGGCGAAAAGGAAGGGGAGCGGGCGCGTACCTGCATTTTGGAGGGTGTCGATGTTCTGCGGCCGGGCGGCGAACTCAGCCACCGCCTGCACGAACTGCGTCCGGGCGCGCTGGTACTGCTCGAAAACTGCGGGCGGCAGCGCCGGGGCACTCGGTTAGTGACCGTCCCGCCAGCCCCGGTCCAGCCCCGGTCCAGCCCCGGTCCAGCCCCGGCCCCGCCGCCCCGGCCTACCTTGCAGGATCTGCCGCTGGCTCATGGCGGCAGCGACACAACAGGCTGCGCACCCGCGCACGGCCACACTCTGTGTACTCGTTGCCCTGGAAACCGGACGGAAGTCGCGCCGCGGGGGGAGAGGCGGGACCGCGGCCACGCCGCCTGTGACGTCAGCGCGCCCGCCCGTCGCGTGCAGCCCCGACAGCGCTCCGCGGGCGCGCAGCCTTGCGGGTACTGGTAGCGTTTGCGCGGCGGGCGAGGGGCAGCACCCGTGTGTTAAACATCGGGGCGCGGGTGTTTGCAGCGAGAAGACTTCGGCCGCTGTGGCACACCCGAACGGCCTGTGCACACCCCACGACGGACAGTGCGTCCGTGGGTGCAGATGAGAACGTGTGAAGGAGCCGCTGCTCTGACGGGAGCGCAGCGGGGGAAGACACGGGCAGAGCCCGCGGGACGGGGCTGGGGACGGGACAGGGCTGACATCCCCGCAGGGTTTCACCCCCCACGGCCTGCCGCTGCCGTATGTCCGCGTCCCGGCAGCGCGGAGCAGGCGGGGACTGGCTGCAGGACTGGGGCCTGGCCGCCCCCGATGGTATCACGGAGTGGCGCCACGGCCGCCCCACCGGTGCTCCTCGACGGGACAGGGTCCGAGGGGGTCCCCGCTGCCCTGCACGCCCTGCGCAGGCAGCCACTCCTCGGACCCCGGTGCCGCGATGCTCCGCGGTCCCGATAGCTGCTTTGTGCCGCTCCGCTGCTGCGCAGCTCGCCAAGGGGGGGGCGGGAGAGCCCCGTCATCCCAGATGAGCCCCACGCCGGGGTCCCCCAGCCCGGCTCCTGCTCCCCGTCCGACCCCTCGGTGAGGGAGAAATAATAAGGAGGAGAAAATAAAAATAAGTGCGGCCGCTGGGCTCCCGGAGCTGTCCCCTCCGCACGCCGCTGCGCATTAGTTCCTCGGGGAGGGGGTCCTTTGATTTTAATTTTTCCTTTCTGTCTTTCTTCCTCTTTTTCTTTCTTTCTCTCTCTCTTTCTGTCTCTTTGTCTCTTTCTTTCTGTCTCTTTTTATCTCTCTCTCCTCTTTCTCTCTCTCTCTCTCTCCTCTTTTTTCTCTCTCTCTTTTCCTCTGTCTCTTTCTCTCTCTGTTTCTTTCCACCCTGAAACTCTTCCTCGGGAATCCCCACTATTACTTTATGCCGCCGCTCCGGCCCACGCCGGAGTTTTTCACGCCGCACGGGGAATAAACTCACCACGCGGAGCGCCCGCGGAGCGCAGGGACGAACCCGTGGGCTGGAGCTGCGGTGCAAGCACCGCGGAGAAGCCGCGGCCCCGCTGGAGGGGAAGGCGCAGCTTACCCCGTGCCCCGCGCATCCATCCGCGCAGCGCAGGAAGGTCCTTTTTGCGCTGCCTGCGCAGGGGTAGCGGCACTGTGGGGCGGCCCGGCAGCAGTCCCCTGGCTTTGACAAGCACAGGTACTGGCGGCTCCTTTGCACCACAGCAGGATTTTGTACTGTGCTGTTTTTCATCAGAGCATCATTCTGGCAGATAAGCCAGGCGCTGCCTTCCTCTATCCCCACCTTGGTGCCTCCCACTCTGAGGACAGTTTACGAATAATTCCCTTCACAACCGGTCGGCCAAGGCGTGGTTTATGTATGAGTAAACCCAACCTTGGAGGTCTGTGTGGCAACTAATGCAAATGGTGGGACTGAAAACTGAAATCAGGGTGGTCAGGATTTGAATGGAAATAGACTCTCCATCTCCTCCAGTATCTTTTGAGGGCGATTCCCAAGAAGCGGGATATTTGTGAATGAAGTTACTGGTTAGGTCTGCTATAGATCAGGCTGCTCAGAGGGAAACCCAGAGTTACTATTCAATAAAAAAATGTCCCTTTCTGAAGCCACCCCTCCACCGCACAGTGCTTCATGATTTCACAGGCTGCTATTTTGTTCTGCAAAGCTCCAAATGTACAAAATCAGGTGGCTGACACGATACACACATATTATTTCATAGTCAGCACAAAGTTCTGTCTCACACCTTAAAGCTGAAAGGCTGAAGTTACATTTTAAAAGTTTGTGAAAGTGTAAGAAAGACGCCTCATTTTCATAAATCACCTCCGGGGATCCTCAGTTGAGGAGAGGGGGGGTTGACCCAAACAGTACCGGGGAATGAAGTGAGCCATGTGTTTCCAGGAGTATTTAATGCGGGAAAAACCCTCTCTTGGAGGAAAAAACCAAGCAGGCGATGTGCCGTTCTTTACAAATAAATAAGACAAATTAAATCAGGTTGGTGAGAAGGTCGTTTGCCACAGAAAATATTTTGGGAAATTATCACCATGTGTATTTGAGAAGGGAACAGCTGTTAAACACATTTCTTTATACTTATTTCTGTTCTTAAGTTAAATAAAAAAATAAACAAACGGTGATGAATTACTCCCAGAGTTTTGGGGGGGTTAAAAAAGCAGATGTGTCGATTACAAATAAATTGATTTATCTGTCTCATTAAGTCTAATGTTCCCATAAGTGAAACAACAAAACGCACCCTGAGTACCTCCAAAACTTGCTGTCACATTTCGTTGCTTGATACTGAGGTTCTGTTCACATGGTTAATAATAATAATAAGGAATAAACAGCATGCAAATGTGGTCTAGAGAAATGTCACCGGTTCTCGCAAAAGTACTGAAGACGGAAACTCCTTTATGGAAATGACGTACTTGTCAGACTTCATTGCCCGCTGCTGGGGTGCTCATTAGTAGGAAACCTGTATCCTCAGGCGGGTGGTGTTAGTAACGACCGCGTTACTGCACACGTCAGCTTAAAAAATAAACCGGAGACTAGAGGATTAGGCAACAAATATCCAAATTAATAACGTGCCTTCGCTTTCTGGTGGGTGTTGATTCACACGGCAATACGCTCCTAACGGGCGGGAAAGCATCACTGTCCCCAAGTCGGTAAAGGGCGAAGTTGCTCCTCGAGTTTTTTTGGGGGAGTGAGGAGTGCCGGGGGGTTTCCCACGGGCTGTCCTGGCTTGGTCCGGCCCCGCGGGTCAAGGCAACAGGTGGCTCTGGTTCCTGGGGAAGCAAGGGCGCTGGGCGGCAGGGGCAGGGTCCCTCTCTCTGCCCCCGACAGCTCATGCCCCGCCGTATCCCACAGCCAAGCCGCGGCTGCTCCTCTGCTGCTAGAAGCTCAGCGATGCCAGTCAAAAGGTGAGGTCTTCCCGCGTCTTGGCGTGGCGGCTTCCACACCGGCTGCGGAACCCCGCCGGGACAGCCCGTCGGTGCTGGGGAACAGCCGGCCTGGAGCCCCCCCGGCCGCTCCCCGCCCCCATCGGCACTGCGCTGCGGCTCCCGATCTGCCCCTGGAGTGTCTCCTTCAGTTGCAACAAGCCTGGCAAATTGTCCAAGGTTTAACCCGGTGCTTCCAGGACGGAGCGCGTTTGGTGGAAACTCCTCTGCTGGCTCCGCGGCTCGGAGGCGAAGGCGACAGGCTGCTGAAAGAGGGCAGGTGGAGTGTGGAGAGGTTAGTGGAAGTGAATGGTATGCGGGAACCGAAGTGCTCTCTCAAAGGGAGTGTACTGAAGGAGGGATCTCCATCTCCATGTATAGCCCCTACTGCTGTGTATTATTTGAATCCTTGAATAATTTAATTTTAAAATTTTAGTTCGTCTTTGCCGTTACCTGATTTTAGTTCTGTCAGAGGGACCCAGCAATGGAGAGTCCCCTCTCTTGTTCCTTGGTTTTTTGCTCTGGGTTCCAGCGTCTCACTCTGTTCTGGGGTCCCCTTTCCAGAGCTTCGGCGGAGAGTTTAGTTTGTGAGACCTTCCTGTAGAATAAATTAGTTCTGTGAGGCGAAGACAGGAACGTCGAGGCACTTCAAACGCGCTAGAAAGAGGACTTCCTCTTCACTTCAGAAATCTGTAACCGTAAGCATGCAAACGGTAGAGACTTGGCTAGTGGAGATTTGGTGCGTCGCCATTGCACTAGGCAAAGGCAGAACAAAAATTACAAGGGATCAATAAAGTGGAAAAGGGCAAAACGTTTCAGGTTGACTTGTAGGATGGGACCAGGAAATACGAGCTGATAGTGCTGAGCCCTTTTTACCACGTGCATATGGTTACACCTCTGGTTTCCTACGGAACCGTCAGCGCTTGTGCAGTGCCATTAAGAAAAATAAATAAATAAATAGACAAATATTTTTTGGGACGTTCCAAAACTGAAAGCCGGAGCTTAATTTATTCCGGGCACTTGAAAGGAAAGAGGTCTTCCTTTGTGTCTGCTGCTCCGGGGGAGGGTGTGTGTGGGCTTGGCGCTGAACGCTGCCCATATCTACATATGTAAACCCAGCAGCGCTCTCCCCCCTCGCCGGCAGGGTTGCGGGCGCTGGTAGCTCACAACAATGCTGCCAGACAATGCGAAGTACGCGGAGCCTGCGCGGCCGCGGCTAAGAGAGGGCTGGAGCTGTCCAGTGTTTAGCTCTTGATGGGGAAGGCCCCAGTTTGCGCACTGCCCGGCGGAGCCGCGGCCGCCCCGTCCTCCCGCCCCGTCATTGTCCCCGGCTGCGGCGGCTGGAGGGGTGGGGACACGCCGCAGCCAGAGGACGGTCCCCGCTCTGCAGAAGAAGGTGTAACGAGAGGCACTGGCAGCAGAAAAGGCTGCAAATCGCTGTCGTGTGGTTGCTATTAGCAACAAATCAGCTGAACAGCCTGCAAACCCTGAGCACCTAGGGCGGAGGTGGCAGGGAAAGCGCCAGGGCCGGGGAGGCAGGGGCCGGCGGCCGTTCTCCCGGGGGGACCCCTCCTGAATTCCCGGTCTGCCTCCTGGGTGGCGGCCGGGCAAGGGCTGGGCAAGGGCGGGCGCTGCTGCCACCGCCGCGCACGGCGCTCCTGGAGAGGGGAAAGGCAGCCCACGTAAAACAGACAAAATGGCAGCCCGTGGCTTGTAGGCATCCCTCTCGGCGCCGAGCGCCTGCCTCGCCTCCGCCGGCTCCTGCTGATGCCGTGCCCCGGGGCTCTCCCTGCCCGCCCGCCCGGGACCAGCGCCCCAGCCCGGTGTTCCCCGAGGATCCAGGCGCAGCCCTTCGCTCTCCGTAACCAGCCCACCCAGCCTAGAGACCAAACCCCATCCCTCCGCATGGGACACGTCCCGGCCGGCGGCACCAGAGC